AGTAAGAAAAAATCTTAAGTATTTATCTAACGTTGAGAATTTACTTATTTAAAATTTACCGATACGGGATCGAAGTTAGTTTTAACTTTCTTTTATTACGAAATATTTTATTATTATTTCAAATATTTTAACTAAAATACATCTTTTTTATGTATTATGTAAACATTGGAATTGCTTTGGTACATCGATACTTTTTCATAAGCTTGTATAATCCCTCTTTTTTTTTAGGTTGCAACTTGAAGAAATCTATCTGTTTGTCCGTCCTTCCTTAATATAGAGTACCGTGTTACATACACGAAAGTCTAGACAATATATGGAAATCTTAACGTGAGGAGGCTCACGTTATTTCAATTTAAAACTTTTCTTTCAATTGAGTTATATAGAAGACCAGCACGACTCTATTGTTAACAGGGAAAGTATGGTGTACAGGAGCAAGACACTACTAATTTGAGGTAATTTAAATTAAGAATATAATTAAAAATCCATTTTTTTGAATTGTTTTCTCTGTGCTCTTTTGGAATAAATTTATTTTATTTAAAATATATGCTCTCCACCTCAAGTTAGTAATGGCTTGCCCCTGTAAATCATACTTTTCCTGTTAGCAATAGAGTCGTGCTCGTCATCTATCTAACGTTTTTAAGGGGAAAATTTTTTAAATTTGAGGTGGAGAGCGTATATTTTATTTTTGTTATTCATTGCATTTTCGTATAATTCTTCGTATTTTAGCAAAATTAAAATTTTTGTTAGCGCCAAACACGTCTTATTTAGTGTCGAATAAAATATTATTTCAAATTTAACTTCTATATTTTATAAATTTGGGTGTTTTGGTCGCACGTTTATATAAAAATTATCTTAAATTTATGGTAGAAAACGTATGAAAATGTATTTTTATATATATATAAAATTTTCGCGTGTAATTTGAATATTTAAAAGCCATTTAAAACAATTAAATTTTATTGTTAATGACGAAATTTCTTTTGCACGATTTAATTAAAACTTCTGAATTACTTAACAGTTTTAAACCTTTAATTCAGTATATTATAAAGTAGTTTACGGATCGAAATCTTTTGTTTATTAAGAGGAATAATTCAGCTTTCATGCAATATCGCTTCAATTGTCATTCATACTACTGGGATTTATTTCAATTAATTTTTATCTTTGCTTTTCAATCAGTGGATTTTTGTCAATCTTTCGTGACAAAATACAATCGATTATTTATTCAAACTTTAAAATTGCATCGCCACAATGCCGGCTTACAATTCTCTTTCTGTTCTGAATTTTGCTCCCTTACATCATACTTCTCCCTGTATACATTTACATTATAGTTCGTTGTCTGTCTGTCCTTCGTTAATCTCGAGAATGGAGTTAAGAACAAAATCGAGATATTAAGCATGAATTTCATATTAAAATACGACGAGTTTATTCACTACAAATCGATAGGAATTTTCAATTTTCAAATGTTTAAAATAACAAAGAATAATTTTCCAAATATATTTTATTAATATTTATATGTCTGGACTGTGACTTTTATGGTAAAAGTAGGCACGGTAGGTTTATTTTCTATTCTTCTTTTCCTTTGTTAGATATACATTTCGATATTTGTTGTTAGAAATTACAGTCGACCCCCCCTATAACACTGTTGATTATTCCGTTTTATATGAATTCCATGTTGTACGAGTCACTTAGATTTTACAAATACGTGAGCCGGGCTGTGAACGGCTCACGTATTTGTAAAATCTAAGTGACTCGTACAACATGGAATTCATATAAAACGGAATAATCAACAGTGTTATAGGGGGGTCGACTTAATTAATATTGATATAAGAAATATTTGATAAAGAAATTAATAATAATTATTTAATACTAGTGTCTGAAGTTGTACTTAAATGTTAACGTGTTAACATTTAAATATAAATTCCAGTATCAGATGAAAGGCAATACCCAAGAGGCTAGAGGTCCCCCCGATTAATACGAACATCCCATGCAAACCGGAAGTTACGTCGTCATTTTAATTCAAAAATTAATTAATTAAAATGTTCATTTTTTGTTTACTTTGTTCGGGGGAATGCAGAGGGAGGTTAATTTATAAAAGCTTAATTTAGATTATCACTAAATGAAACGAAATTACATTCCTTTATGTAAGCTAAATGCTATCGATCCGATCGGAATTTATTTAAGTAATTAATGACAGACGTGTAATTATTGTACCAATTAATAATTTGTTAAATATGAGAGATTTATAATCTAGTTTAAGACTTTTAGCGTAAAGAATTTAGTAAATTAAAGTTATTATTTTTGATTTTTTCCTTATACCACACTACCCGTACGCCTCTTTTATTAAAATGAAAGGGAGACAATTCATCAAAAAACTGTAAAAATCCTGCTAAATAATAGGGCTTATCACACTTGTAAATATGATATTACAAATAAACTTTTAGTTTATTTTATATCTAAATTTATAATAGAATAAACATTTTTACTTTGAATGTTAAGTGTATACAATACACCCAAAATGAATTTCGGACTCTTTTGTAGTCTTTTTTATAAAGATAATAAAACAAAACATACGTAAAAGTTACATTAAAAAGGTTTAAATAACCACGAAGACGTCGCAATTAAAGAAACCGATGTTATTTTATATGTACTATTAGAGAGGTTGCGGCCGAAGTTTTCATCTGTAAAACGCGAACGTCGAACGTCGAGCGCCTACAAGATAGCCGCGCTTCTGCGCGGCGCTCGACGTTCGACGTTCGCGTTTTACAGATAAACACTCTCCATCCCTAATTTCCCAGGTGACTTAAGTTATTAGATAACACATGGAAAAACCATTAGATCGAGCAGCAGAAGTATTGCGTATAAGCGCAACAGAACTACTGTATATAGAAATTAAATGTTACGTAAAAACAGAATTAAAAAAAATCAGATAGAAACTTCTTAATTAAAATTTCTATTGTTAGTTGAGTTTTTAAAATAGAATTTTCATGTTTTAATTTAAAATTAAGATCTTCTAAAGTTTTACAGTTATTACATTTAAGTGATTCTTCTGATTTATCCCGTTTATTTTCATCTAAAAGTTTTCCTGTTATTTTTTTTCTCTATTTCTTTGTAATAAACGATTCTTTCTTTGATTCTACCGATTGATGTTTTCATTTTCTATATTTCTTAAATTTAATGTAGTAAGAAGTTTTCTTTAGTTTAGATTTTGCCAATAAACCTAATAACTCGGCTTTTAAATTTCTCTCAAAATCATTTTCTGCGAAATGATCAGAGCGAACGTGACAAGAATCGGGATTGTATTTGTCTTTTCTTTTACAATTATGAATCCATTTTCTTCTTCTTATTGGATCTTTATGAAATCTAAAATAACCAACTTTCCTGTTTAATAACTGTTATTACGAGTTGCAACAGCACATGATGCTCCTGGCATCTAAAAATAATAATAATGATAATAAAATTTAGCTATTTTTTAAATTTTCCTAAATATATGTAATCAAGATATAATATTCTGAAGTAGAAAAAAAAACTAGTATTAACATTCCTTATATAAANGCCGGGCTGTGAACGGCTCACGTATTTGTAAAATCTAAGTGACTCGTACAACATGGAATTCATATAAAACGGAATAATCAACAGTGTTATAGGGGGGTCGACTTAATTAATATTGATATAAGAAATATTTGATAAAGAAATTAATAATAATTATTTAATACTAGTGTCTGAAGTTGTACTTAAATGTTAACGTGTTAACATTTAAATATAAATTCCAGTATCAGATGAAAGGCAATACCCAAGAGGCTAGAGGTCCCCCCGATTAATACGAACATCCCATGCAAACCGGAAGTTACGTCGTCATTTTAATTCAAAAATTAATTAATTAAAATGTTCATTTTTTGTTTACTTTGTTCGGGGGAATGCAGAGGGAGGTTAATTTATAAAAGCTTAATTTAGATTATCACTAAATGAAACGAAATTACATTCCTTTATGTAAGCTAAATGCTATCGATCCGATCGGAATTTATTTAAGTAATTAATGACAGACGTGTAATTATTGTACCAATTAATAATTTGTTAAATATGAGAGATTTATAATCTAGTTTAAGACTTTTAGCGTAAAGAATTTAGTAAATTAAAGTTATTATTTTTGATTTTTTCCTTATACCACACTACCCGTACGCCTCTTTTATTAAAATGAAAGGGAAACAATTCATCAAAAAACTGTAAAAATCCTGCTAAATAATAGGGCTTATCACACTTGTAAATATGATATTACAAATAAACTTTTAGTTTATTTTATATCTAAATTTATAATAGAATAAACATTTTTACTTTGAATGTTAAGTGTATACAATACACCCAAAATGAATTTCGGACTCTTTTGTAGTCTTTTTTATAAAGATAATAAAACAAAACATACGTAAAAGTTACATTAAAAAGGTTTAAATAACCACGAAGACGTCGCAATTAAAGAAACCGATGTTATTTTATATGTACTATTAGAGAGGTTGCGGCCGAAGTTTTCATCTGTAAAACGCGAACGTCGAACGTCGAGCTATTATAAATAATTTATAAATCTTTCTGTTGTTATTGTTTTGATGACGTAGAGTGACCGGATGTTGGAGGCGCCACTATAGAGGTAAGCTCACTCCTTTAACATTTGTATAAGAGAAGTGACGAAATGCGAGTCAAGTAAGAAAAAATCTTAAGTATTTATCTAACGTTGAGAATTTACTTATTTAAAATTTACCGATACGGGATCGAAGTTAGTTTTAACTTTCTTTTATTACGAAATATTTTATTATTATTTCAAATATTTTAACTAAAATACATCTTTTTTATGTATTATGTAAACATTGGAATTGCTTTGGTACATCGATACTTTTTCATAAGCTTGTATAATCCCTCTTTTTTTTTAGGTTGCAACTTGAAGAAATCTATCTGTTTGTCCGTCCTTCCTTAATATAGAGTACCGTGTTACATACACGAAAGTCTAGACAATATATGGAAATCTTAACGTGAGGAGGCTCACGTTATTTCAATTTAAAACTTTTCTTTCAATTGAGTTATATAGAAGACCAGCACGACTCTATTGTTAACAGGGAAAGTATGGTGTACAGGAGCAAGACACTACTAATTTGAGGTAATTTAAATTAAGAATATAATTAAAAATCCATTTTTTTGAATTGTTTTCTCTGTGCTCTTTTGGAATAAATTTATTTTATTTAAAATATATGCTCTCCACCTCAAGTTAGTAATGGCTTGCCCCTGTAAATCATACTTTTCCTGTTAGCAATAGAGTCGTGCTCGTCATCTATCTAACGTTTTTAAGGGGAAAATTTTTTAAATTTGAGGTGGAGAGCGTATATTTTATTTTTGTTATTCATTGCATTTTCGTATAATTCTTCGTATTTTAGCAAAATTAAAATTTTTGTTAGCGCCAAACACGTCTTATTTAGTGTCGAATAAAATATTATTTCAAATTTAACTTCTATATTTTATAAATTTGGGTGTTTTGGTCGCACGTTTATATAAAAATTATCTTAAATTTATGGTAGAAAACGTATGAAAATGTATTTTTATATATATATAAAATTTTCGCGTGTAATTTGAATATTTAAAAGCCATTTAAAACAATTAAATTTTATTGTTAATGACGAAATTTCTTTTGCACGATTTAATTAAAACTTCTGAATTACTTAACAGTTTTAAACCTTTAATTCAGTATATTATAAAGTAGTTTACGGATCGAAATCTTTTGTTTATTAAGAGGAATAATTCAGCTTTCATGCAATATCGCTTCAATTGTCATTCATACTACTGGGATTTATTTCAATTAATTTTTATCTTTGCTTTTCAATCAGTGGATTTTTGTCAATCTTTCGTGACAAAATACAATCGATTATTTATTCAAACTTTAAAATTGCATCGCCACAATGCCGGCTTACAATTCTCTTTCTGTTCTGAATTTTGCTCCCTTACATCATACTTCTCCCTGTATACATTTACATTATAGTTCGTTGTCTGTCTGTCCTTCGTTAATCTCGAGAATGGAGTTAAGAACAAAATCGAGATATTAAGCATGAATTTCATATTAAAATACGACGAGTTTATTCACTACAAATCGATAGGAATTTTCAATTTTCAAATGTTTAAAATAACAAAGAATAATTTTCCAAATATATTTTATTAATATTTATATGTCTGGACTGTGACTTTTATGGTAAAAGTAGGCACGGTAGGTTTATTTTCTATTCTTCTTTTCCTTTGTTAGATATACATTTCGATATTTGTTGTTAGAAATTACAGTCGACCCCCCCTATAACACTGTTGATTATTCCGTTTTATATGAATTCCATGTTGTACGAGTCACTTAGATTTGACAAATACGTGAGCCGTTCACAGACCGGCTCACGTATTTGTAAAATCTAAGTGATTCGTACAACATGGAATTCATATAAAACGGAATAATCAACAGTGTTATAGTGGGTCGACTGTATAAGGGACCAGCAAGCGTGTAAAACTCTATATAAAATATACATATACAAGCGCAGTATTAAGAATTGGTGCATAAACCATAAAGATGTCGTTGCTTATCAGAAGCTTGGAAATATCTTCTAAACACAATGGAGGACGATACCGAAGACTGAACCAATATTTCGTTGTATTTTATATATTTATTTACTTATTATTTTAATTAATTAAATATCGATTTAATTTAATATATATTTATAAAAGAAATCTTTTATTTACAGAATTAACAAATGGGTGAGGATTTTTCTGGCGACTTAAAAAAATAATAAAAATGGATATTAAGAATGAAGCCAAATAACGAAGTGAATTCCGATTATCATATCAACAATTCGGACTATTTATTATTGAAAGGTATTATAAACGTGTTAAAGATTAGCATGGAAAACGATACTTATCAGCATTTTAACCACAGCAAAATAAATCCTAAACTATCTTTGCTATTGAGCAGAATGATTATGCCTACAGAAATGACCAGAGAAGCCGTAATTATATTCTTTTATTCCCTGATTATAGTCATTTCCATTTTTGGAAATAGCCTGGTGTGCAACGTGGTGTGTCGAAAGTGGCATTTTAAAACGTCTACGCAAATCTTTATCATCAATTTATCGATATCGGACTTACTGATGACTGTACTCAACATACCATTTAATTTAGCCAGGGTATTTCTGGACAATTGGCCTTTCGGCAGGGTAATGTGTGTTTTCGTTCCTCTTGTTCAGGTTGCTTCCGTTTACATTTCTACCTTTACCATGACGTGCATCGCCTACGATCGTTTCTACATAATCACCAGACCCTTAAAGCCGAGAATGAGTTCTAAGAAGGCCATAGCTGTGACTTTCGTTATGTGGTGCGTGTCCATCACTCTGTCACTTCCGGAAGCATCGTTCTATCGAGTCGAGAGCGTCTTCACCTACAAAACTCTGATTCGATGCCGCATTAATTATCCTAAAGGAATACACAGGAAGTACGTCACTCTGGCTTTGTTTCTGTTACAATACGCCATTCCCTTATCCGTCACGGGTATAATTTACGTCAGAATTATGTGCAAAATTTGGAAACGTCGCGCAATCGGTGCCGTAACGGAAGAACAAAAGGTGCTATATTTAAGAATGAAAGTGAAAACCATAAAAATGGCCATGATCGTAGTTTTAGTGTTTGCATTGTGTTGGTTCCCGCTCAATCTATATCATTTATTAATAGATTTCGATCTGGGTAAAGCTTCGGCTACAGTATTCTTTCTGTGCCATTGGTTAGCCATGAGCAGCGTGTGTTATAACCCATTTATCTATTGTTGGTTAAACGAAAACTTCCGATCTGCTGCTAAGTCGTGGACTACGTGCTTTCATCGATGCAAAAACCTCAATTCCGAATTGAGAACGGTGTTACGTACACGAAGACTCGAAAACAGTGCAATTCCAACAACACCGAGCGCATCTATTCCCTGTACGTATGCAAGAAATAGGAAATCGAAATTTAACAGAAACATCTCCGTAGAAGTTTTTAGTACGAATCTTACGAGATCTTTCTCCGGAACTAAAGTTTGAAATCTCCAAAAAAAATGGGCATGCCAAATTATATCTAGGAGGAGACCGTTCCACGTGCGGTCTGTTTAAATTTCCAGCCTATCTCTCCCGGTTTATTGCTAAATAGCATCCATTTTACTTTCACGTGACAAAACGTGGGCAGCAAGTGGTAAACTCATTTCGGAGGATTCCTTTAAGTTATTCAGGAGACACAGCATTCCAGTCGTGAAAAAATATGTATTTTGGAATGCCGAGTGCTCGTTATGTCATTGTCACTGTCACTCACGCGGCAAAAAATGCTATCTTAATAATGATTTATCTATCATTAATAAGTATTGTAGGTTGTTAGCCATGGTCGAAATGGCATTGCCGAATTATTGCCCGTGTATAAATACCACACGAGTGTACCTCACACGTCTCTCCAGGCAAAATCGTTCGCAGACACAGACGAAAAGAAAGATTTAATCAACATAAATGACCACCAATACTTGCAGTTTCTTCGTTTCTTTTGATTTAATTAATTATGTCTTTTGACGGTTGTGTCCGTGTCGGCTAATATTACAAACCCTTTATTATCAGCGTGTGTAGCTTATGCTTTTAACCGAAAAGTGAATATATGTATTTGAAATTTTTATATTGTTAAATGTGCTCGATATTTGAAATTCTTTGGGCACGAAATCTTTATGCCCCGAGGTGTTTCACCGCATACTACTTGGCGTTTTTGAAAAGCTTTTTTTTTATGGCAAACCCACTTTCCATATTGACGAAATGGTAGCTTGGAAAATTGGGCAATGGGCGGTGCCTTGGCATTGTTTAATTAAATTTCTTCTCTAAAGTCTCAATTTACCACAAATGTTTATAGACTAAGAAGTGTCCAGACGTGAAACGATCTCTCCTTCAGTATCTCGAAGAGCATTTAGCATTTATAATACATACATTTAAATAAATTAAATTAAAACTATTAACGATCTTTCGATAATAATTATACGTGAAATTAGAGTTTAAAAATTGTGATTTTTGTAAATAACTTTATAATCCGTCGAGTAAGAAATTAATTTACATTTGATTAATAGTAATTAGTACATAACTTATGTTAGAGTAAATTAGGTTAATTATATTGGAAAATATAGTGTTAAGTTGTCAAAACACTTCCATCATTAATGTATTTAACAGTAATTACATATACAGACTAATCTGATTATTATATAATAATTTCGAGAGATGTAAGGAAAACATTTCAAATTTTACAGAAAACAATTCACATATAACGAGCAATTATCTATTGTTTCGATTTTAATTCATATTTTTAATTTATTTCATTTAAAATATATGCACACCACTTCAAATTAGTATTGTCTTGCCCCTGTACATCATACTTTCCTGTTAGTAACGGAATCGTGCCGGTCGTCTAACTCCTTTCGGGAGGAAAATTATTGTGATTGAAATGACGTAAGTTCCGGTTTTTATCGGAAGTTCGTACATAGTTAATCGGGGCCTCCTGGATCTAGGCTTTCAACACCCTGTCTCGATTTTCATGTATCTAACTCCGTTCTCGAAAATAAAGAAGGACAGACAGACAATTTACAATTTTTTCAAATTGGATCCCAATTACGACATTACCAATTGTCAATTTAAAATGTTTGCATGCCCTGATAATTCCTAGAAGTTTGACAATGACGTTCCAAACGCCATTGTCAAACTTCTAGGCTTACAAGATGGCGGCGCTCAACGTCTGACGTTCACGTTTTAGAGATGAAAACTTCGGCCGCAAGCTCTCTAATATGTTTGGGAAAATATCTATTCGTAAGTAGTTAAGCCGGTTATTGTTATTTTTATATAAGAATATCCCTTTTTAACGTTTCAAGATAATGCATCGCATCGGTACATAATGTTTTATTTTAGGCGTAAAAATTACAGAAGTTTCAATGTTATAAATATGTAAAATAAGAGTAACTGAAGTTACGCTACAGTTATGTGTATTGTATTGCGTAAAATGTTCTTGCAATAGTATAATTTAAAAGAATAATGCTTTAAATGTATAGTAAATAAATATCAGGGGTCGCGCTGCATAGGACCAAAATCGCCACTTGACGATATTTTTATTAACCTCTTGGCACTGGTGGGCAAAGCGGCTTTAATACAGCTAGACAAGCATGCAGTTATGATCCTCGGGTATATTCAGGATCTAATTACCAAGGTACAGTACATTACATTTTCTTCACCAGGCAACACGCCCTGCTATTTATTGATAAATGCTTTCACGCTGTCCAGAAGACAGAAAACAAAAATCATCAAATAGGAACAATTTGTTGTTTGTGCCATTTAAGTAACAAGAGGGCCAACATTATATGTCACTTATACGGTTGGCCAAATCTATAAAAAATGCCAACGAATGGTGATAGTTGGAGAATAAGCCGTCCAGCTCTCCCGATACTCTAACAAACAGACAGGCACTCAGAAACTTTTAAGAATGGTTTGATCCCGATGTATTGGGTCTTGTTTCATTCCATCCTTTTAGGGACTTTATCGTAAGTCCAAGAATAAGCCACGAATAAGGCCTCGCCGAAGGCCATAAATAAGAACCTTTTGGTGATATTTTGAATTCATATTAATAGCAATATAAAGATATTTTAATTAATTTTATTGTTTTAATTTATATTCCTGTTTACAGCATTTCCGTCGATAAACTTAATTTGATTAACGATTTCCTAAAAGTAAAGAGGAAATTACTAATTAAATTCGCCTTTTCCGATAAACTCCAACTTAATTTAATGAGTTGACATTCAAAATTTCTTAATAGAAGTTTTCGATATTCAAGAGCGTAAGGTGAAGCTAATCTTTAGCAATGAAAGTGTTGGCATTATTGTTATTTCTGGCTGTAGCCTGGAGAGTTGAAGCACTTACTAAAGACGAAATGCGAACTATTTTGTGCTGTAAATTTAGTTTAATTGAAATTAAATTCGATTCTCCTAAATAAGTATTTTAAAACGAATTTTTTGCAGCCGCTCCGCTTGAGTATTCGGTAAGATTCATTGACTGTACATTGGATAAAAGCTCCGCATTCGTCCAAAAGGTAATTTTTTTTAACGTAAAGATAAATATAGAAAATAAATAAAGTAATTTTAATTAGTTAAACTAAATGCTCTTTAAATTTGCAACTAGGCCGGCGATATAGCTTACGAGTGTATTAACGAAAAGTTCGAAACTGAAGGGAAAGCAGAAGCCATTTTATCTTTAGTCTGTCAGGATTCTGTGTCTAAAAATAGAAAGGTGTGTACAGTACATAATTAATCAATTATCATATTCGATTATACGACTGTATAAATCAGTGCTTACACTTGTATATCGGTGGCAGACATATTGGCCACGTTGCCTGTAAAGTGGACTTAAATACAGGGGCTGTATTCTGGTCACTGTCTCTGGTCTCTCACAAGCCGGTCGCTGATTGGCTAATTCAAATGATTAGCCAATTGGCTAATCATTTGGATTAGCCAATCAGCGACCGGCTTGCGAGAGATAAGAGACCAGAGATAGTGACCAGAATACGGCCCCAGGTGTGTTAGCAAGCCAGCATAGCAGCTTTAGCACAAATGCGCTTATTGAGATGATTTCGTTCTTTAAATAAGATTTAATAAATTATTCATGACGGTGAGGTGCGCGTGTAAAATTCAAGAGGTGTAAGACTGATGAAAAATATTATTAAATACTCAATAAATTAATACAGTATAAAAGTTCTGATGATAACATTTTAAATACAATTTTAGGTGAACTCTTGTCTTAATAGAGGAATAACAGTAAGTTAATGTTTGTATTGATAAATATTTTATAATTTATTCGGTAAATTGGATAATTGTATAATTCTTTTCTTGTAGGAGTTAGGAGAAGGAAAGTCGGAAGACATTACTTCATTCATTGACGCTTTAAAAGCTTGTATCACGCTCTCGTTAACATAAAACTAATCTGTTTTCATTTTGTGTATTTTGAAAATGTTTTTCTCTGGATTTTCCATTAATTTTTCAAAGTAAATATTTGTGTATTAAATAAAATTGATATTCGAACATTAACTATGTGATACCGGTACGTCTTTTATATATCTATATAACCCATTGAACGCGTGTCCGTCCGTCCGCGTAACAGTATGCCGAAAACGGGCACTAGAGGCGCCCTAGCGTTGATTTTAAATTAATAGGAATTTATTATTGATATGAATTTATTATTTATACCACGGAATGGTATAAATAATTATTGTACGCCTTGCCTTGCTTTATTATATGCCTTAATTAATTTAACCTTGCGCCGCACATTTACAACATCCCGGGACTCACAAATCAGTGAACGTCGCGCATTGACTCACGGGAAATTTGTTTTAAAAAAATGGCGGACACATTTAAATTGGAAATTTACAACCGAAGGTAAATAAACAAATTAAACTATTTTAAAGTTTTTTAGAATGTTTAATAGATAGAAATATAGTTTCGTATGACGCGATTGGGACTTTAACAGAGCTGTAGAAATATTGATAGGAACAAAAATTCAAAGGAACCGTCCCCAAGGACTATATACTACAAGGATAGCCAGATCCCTATTCTACAATGTTAGCCAGGAATGCCAAGTTAGTGACGTCAGCACGAGACCTGACCTCTCTGTTTACATAGAGCAGGGTGTGCACGTGTTTAGTTTTCACNTTAAATAATGACATTTGTTTGTTACTTTTTAGAGGTTACCGTGCGATATTTCTCTACCATTTATTTATTTATTTTTTTTCCGTACGTAAATGAAATATTGAAAATTACTTTACTACATTTTGCCAGCTTAATACGGCCATTTCATTATTATTATTATTATTATAAATAATTTATAAATCTTTCTGTTGTTATTGTTTTGATGACGTAGAGTGACCGGATGTTGGAGGCGCCACTATAGAGGTAAGCTCACTCCTTTAACATTTGTATAAGAGAAGTGACGAAATGCGAGTCAAGTAAGAAAAAATCTTAAGTATTTATCTAACGTTGAGAATTTACTTATTTAAAATTTACCGATACGGGATCGAAGTTAGTTTTAACTTTCTTTTATTACGAAATATTTTATTATTATTTCAAATATTTTAACTAAAATACATCTTTTTTATGTATTATGTAAACATTGGAATTGCTTTGGTACATCGATACTTTTTCATAAGCTTGTATAATCCCTCTTTTTTTTTAGGTTGCAACTTGAAGAAATCTATCTGTTTGTCCGTCCTTCCTTAATATAGAGTACCGTGTTACATACACGAAAGTCTAGACAATATATGGAAATCTTAACGTGAGGAGGCTCACGTTATTTCAATTTAAAACTTTTCTTTCAATTGAGTTATATAGAAGACCAGCACGACTCTATTGTTAACAGGGAAAGTATGGTGTACAGGAGCAAGACACTACTAATTTGAGGTAATTTAAATTAAGAATATAATTAAAAATCCATTTTTTTGAATTGTTTTCTCTGTGCTCTTTTGGAATAAATTTATTTTATTTAAAATATATGCTCTCCACCTCAAGTTAGTAATGGCTTGCCCCTGTAAATCATACTTTTCCTGTTAGCAATAGAGTCGTGCTCGTCATCTATCTAACGTTTTTAAGGGGAAAATTTTTTAAATTTGAGGTGGAGAGCGTATATTTTATTTTTGTTATTCATTGCATTTTCGTATAATTCTTCGTATTTTAGCAAAATTAAAATTTTTGTTAGCGCCAAACACGTCTTATTTAGTGTCGAATAAAATATTATTTCAAATTTAACTTCTATATTTTATAAATTTGGGTGTTTTGGTCGCACGTTTATATAAAAATTATCTTAAATTTATGGTAGAAAACGTATGAAAATGTATTTTTATATATATATAAAATTTTCGCGTGTAATTTGAATATTTAAAAGCCATTTAAAACAATTAAATTTTATTGTTAATGACGAAATTTCTTTTGCACGATTTAATTAAAACTTCTGAATTACTTAACAGTTTTAAACCTTTAATTCAGTATATTATAAAGTAGTTTACGGATCGAAATCTTTTGTTTATTAAGAGGAATAATTCAGCTTTCATGCAATATCGCTTCAATTGTCATTCATACTACTGGGATTTATTTCAATTAATTTTTATCTTTGCTTTTCAATCAGTGGATTTTTGTCAATCTTTCGTGACAAAATACAATCGATTATTTATTCAAACTTTAAAATTGCATCGCCACAATGCCGGCTTACAATTCTCTTTCTGTTCTGAATTTTGCTCCCTTACATCATACTTCTCCCTGTATACATTTACATTATAGTTCGTTGTCTGTCTGTCCTTCGTTAATCTCGAGAATGGAGTTAAGAACAAAATCGAGATATTAAGCATGAATTTCATATTAAAATACGACGAGTTTATTCACTACAAATCGATAGGAATTTTCAATTTTCAAATGTTTAAAATAACAAAGAATAATTTTCCAAATATATTTTATTAATATTTATATGTCTGGACTGTGACTTTTATGGTAAAAGTAGGCACGGTAGGTTTATTTTCTATTCTTCTTTTCCTTTGTTAGATATACATTTCGATATTTGTTGTTAGAAATTACAGTCGACCCCCCCTATAACACTGTTGATTATTCCGTTTTATATGAATTCCATGTTGTACGAGTCACTTAGATTTTACAAATACGTGAGCCNCGTAAAAGTTGAATTACATAAACCCGAATAACGCAGGCAATGTAAATTTTTTGATTTAGACTATTAATTAATTGCAAAATTTATTAAATCGATTGAAACGTTTACGTTAATGTGTTTATAAAACATTCGCGATAGATCCAGTAATAATACTGGATCTACAATGATTATCTTGTATATTTTCAAAGTTTTATTTGAAATTAAACGTTTATTCTTTTGTATATTTACTATAGATTTGAATATAAAGAAACGTGTTTATCTCTTCTGTAAAAAGGCGCCTCGACAAAATGCACAAAAAATTTAAAAATCTGTTAAAATGGATGTTTTTATACTCTATACATTTAAATCATTAATTATAAATTAAAATTATAATAAGTAACACAATATATTTCTTCCAGTAAGTAATTACGTTACTGTTTCATTCGGGTTTAATTAATGTCGAAAGAAAACTAATTTCGGAATACAAAGTTAATGAAATTGTTTTAGTAAACGTAAATGTTTCGGAGACATTTTTGACAATGGTATCCATTTGAATCCGCCACTGTGTACAGAGTCTCTTCAGCACCTATGGTTTAATTTGTCAAGAAAAGAAGTAGACTAGATCTTGAACGTTTTGAATTCTTCTTTTCTTAATTAAAAGCCCCGCAGTTGATGAGAATGAAAACAATTATTAATTAATCTAGGTGGGCTACGTTTTTATACATCATAATGTATAAAAATGGGTGTAATATGTCTCATATTCAATGGGAGAATTTGCTGTGTAGGATTTACACCATAAAAAAAGGACTGAAATGTGACTGGATCAAATATGTACAGTGTCTGCGTTGGATTTGTGAGTTATGTACGCCATCTGATCATTTTTGTGAAGATTGTTCAGAGGACAATTCATAAAAATTATTTACTACTTATCATTAATCGTTAGTTATTACGTACTCTCACAATCAGTTGTTAGTTATACTTAATTACTCTTTTAAGAACAATGGCAACTGGTATTACACAACCATCAACATTTTTCTTTCTTTATTTTTGTTGTTATATTATGAATTGAGTTAAATATAATTGCAGCATTTTAACTGTTTTTAAAGGAATATTGTAATTATTTACCTTCTATCATAGTAATTTACAGGATTGTCAGTGCTCATATCGTTACAATTTTTCCGAAAAATAAAATAAATAATAATAATAATCGTCCATTAAGATAATTTTTTCAGTCTTTACGTGCAAATTGTTTGGCATTGAAAAATACACCAAAAATTCTAGAAAATAAAAATCAAATATTTCATTAAATAAAAACTTACAAGTTTTACAAAGGAAATATTTTTTTTTTAAACTAAACAATTAATCATTTAACAGCATCATTCTTAATTAATTTCCTGTGATATTTATATCGACATTTGCTTCCCTTTAGAAATATAAATTGTCAGGAGATATTAAAGAATATATCGTTTTTTCCAGTTGTCTACAATGAAGTCAAATATATTACTTTGTTTTATTTTGCTTTCATTTGGCAATGTTTTTGCTGATATCGGTAATAGTTTAAAGAATCTGAAATTGAAAAACTTTTCTAAATTTTATAATTTATTTATTTATTTGCAGGATGCCCTTTCCTTCTAGATTATTCAGAATGTGAAGCTAATTGTGAAAGATATTGCGAATGGTCTACTGGAACAATAATAAAACCTCCTTGTACAGACTGCAAAGAAGGTTGCATTTGTAAAGAAGGATACGTAAGGGAGTTTAATTATTACTCCAGTTGTATACCAGAATCACTTTGTAAACGTAAGTTTTACTTAAATTACACAAAGACCGGAATTAGCGAAATAACATCATATTTAATTAAATTAACTTAATATTAAATAGTGTTTTACTATAATAAAATATAATCATATTTATTATATTTATAGCCTGTCCTGCTAATGAGCATTACGATGCATGCACTCATCATTGTCAATCCAATTGTAATAATAAAGATGAACCAGTTCCATGTGAATTTGTGTGTCATGCCGGATGTATTTGCAATGAAGGATACATCAGAAAAGAAAACGATAATTCTCCGTGTATCCCGATTGAAGAATGTAAAAGTTGAGCGAGTTTTATAATTTTCAAATTATTTTGTAATCATTTCATTATTCAAATTCATATTAGTGCTTATGTAGTTATGCTATAAAAATGTCGTAAGGATTTATTCCTTTAAATTTTCTTATCTTGTTACAGAATGATAATGATAAATAAATGGTGAAACATCTGAAATAAACTGAGTTTGTGGTAATTTTTTTTATTGATAACACTGTTTAGTGTTGAAGTATTAGTTCGTTATTTAGCAACTCGTGGCACTAACGCAGAATCTATCTATATAACCCATTGAACGCGTGTCCGTCTGTCCGCGTAACAGTATGCCGAAAACGAGCACTAGAGGCGCCCTAGCGTTGATTTTAAATTAACGGTAAATTATTTTTATTTGTAATAGGAATTTATTATTGATATGAATTTATTATTTATACCACGGAATGGTATAAATAATTGTTGTATGCCTTGCCTTGCTTTATTATACGCCTTAATTAACTTTGTGCCGCACGTTTACAACATCCCGGGACTCACAAATCAGTGAACGTCGCGCATTGACTCACGGGAAATTTGTTTAAAAAATGGCGGACACATTTAAAATCGAGGTTTACAATTGAAGGTAAATAAACAAATTAAACTATTTTAAAGTTTTATAGAATGTTTAATAGATAGAAATATAGTTCCGTATGACGCGATTGGGACTTTAACAGAGCTATAAAACCAATGGCGTACCGTGGGTGTCAGCCGTCCGGAGCGGAGGAAAATTTCGGCCCCCCCTTATTAGGTATTTCAATTTAAAAGACCAAAATTCAGTTTTGTCATAGAACAAGCAATGAAAAATTCGGTGATAGTGCAGCGACCAGTTTAAAATAGTTCTATTGGATATTAGTGGTGTATATGAACGCNTCAAATTAATTTTCATTATTCAAATTCATATTAGTGCTTATGTAGTTATGCTATAAATAATGTCATAAGGATTTATTCCTTTAAATTTTCTTATCTTGTTACAGAATGATAATGATAAATAAATGGTGAAACGTCTGAAATAAACTGAGTTTGTGGTAATTTTTCTTTTTTATTGATAACACTGTTTAGTGTTGAGGTATTAGTTTGTTATTTAGCAACTCGTGGCACTAACGCGGAATGATTATATAAGCAACTTTAATTATGAAGTTCGTTGTGGACAAGCCAGATTCATCGGTAAAAGAGTTTTGCTCATAACGGGCGAGGCTAATGCTTAGTGGAATTTGTCGCAAAGTTAAAAATATAGATAACGTCTCGATTGATTTAATTCACGGAAAGATGAGCCTACCAATGACAGACAGAATAAAACCATTGAAGAGTAGTAATTGATCCTGTGTTCTCACTTCATTAATGGGCTGATCACGTGGAGTTTTCTGCGTTTTCACTACGTGTCTAACTCTTAAATATGGACCAGTAGTTCTTATAGAAAGTCTTCCGGGAGGAATCTTCTTTTGCAGATCGCCCATATGTTGTGTTGCGTTGCGGTATTTAACCAAACATACTGAAAAGAAAATTTGTGATAGAATCCATGCAATTTTATATTTTTACAAATAATGGCTTGGAGAAATTATCCATTATAGCTCTTTCAAGGAAATAAGAAACACCTTACATTTACAAGAACACAGGATATTATTGTTTAGAAAATTATAATGTTAAATAATATGCAGTATCAAATAGATAAAATTATCATCAAACAGAAAAATAAACACAGTAAAATTTCAAACTAAAAAAGAAATTCTTATAAGAGAACTAAAATTTAATTAGATCGTATGTCATTGTAATAAATAATGCGTTAAATATTACGTAAAAGCAGGTACATCATTTAAGACATTTCTAAGAAACTTTATTACTCGAAAGGATGTAACACACCTAGAATATTGCAACAGACAGGTTATGTATTTCTCAATACATATCACCTCTACGTCTAGTTATATAAATCTGATAGACTAACTTTATTCACACCTTGACATCATGCTTCCAGTTGTTATAATCTTGTTCTTTTTATACGGTAGTTTGGGCATTGCAAGAGGTAAATTTATTTTAATATTTCATTAAATAATTCGAAATTTATTGAAAATAAAACTAATTAAAAAATATTGTAGAATGCTTTGTAAATGAACAGTTTTCCAAATGTCAGGCTCATTGTCAATCTTATTGTAATTGGACTAATGGGACAATAGTGACTCCTCCTTGTCCTAAAATCTGTGTAAATGGATGCATTTGTCAAGACAATTATGTAAGATTACTACCCGAGGGGAAAAGTTTCTGTATCCCTAAAACACAATGCAAAAGTAAGTATAATAATCTATATCTCTCTTATTTCCTTCTATCATTAAATAAACGTTAAAAAAAAAAGAAAAATATATATATGCAATGTCTACTTTATTACTTAATAAATAACCAATTAATTTAATACATTTAAAAATTTTTATTCTTTTTTAAACATCTATAACGTTAAAGTTTATAAATTAATTGAAATATTTATGTTGATAAGAATATTTATAATACGTGTAACGTGTTGTAAATGATTATAAGCAGAACAGAAGTAATTTATAAATAAAATAAAATTTGGGGCAAATTCTTTCATTTTTGTAGAACAAATTATCACAACTATTTAGAAAAAATATAATTAACAGTATGTATGATGTTAGTGTAGCCTATGTATATCATCCAATTTTAAGCTTAATAAACTCCTGTGCTTTTTGTCGAAAATTTTTGAAGTATTGCAGGTTTGTGTATTAGGGCATTGATATTATTAAATTTTTGGTGATTAAAGTTCGAGGGGTGAAAAGATGTGAGAAGTCGTGTGTCTTACTTCGAGTAGGATCGGACTTAATGAAGATTTTATTCGTTATTAAAGGTGCCATTAATTACTAGAATACAATATGATCTTGTGAAAAGAAACTCGCTTAAAATACACTTATTCGTATTATACTCCTAATTCATAATACTGTAGATGATAAAATACATTAAAATATTTGCTAAAACATTCTGGATTATATATAAATAATTACACATGAAGTATATATACGTAAAAATAAGTAAACTGTTATAAAAATACTAGTACAAAACAGCATGAGTATGCGGTAGCCCCTGATTATTGTTCATATCATAACCGTACTACGGCTTTTATGTTCTCTGATACGAGTATTTAAAACAGATTTCTACCTTTCTGGTACCATTTTGTTAAAATCAACCTTGGATAATCATTAAATATAATCTCATTTATCGTTATTATTCACAAGTATTCAAATTTTTTAAACGTATTTTACAAAATTTGAAGTATGAGGTTCACATTAGAAGACGTTGGTAGCGCTATGCACTTCGGGATTAAACAGGGGACCATTTAATCCCGAATAAAAATTCCTTTTGCCAACTGAATTTTGTGTCCTGATTAAAACAGACTTGGTTATAAAACAAACTGAGGTTTGGATATTTTTATAGATATATTTAATATAATCATATTTGTAAGTAAATATTGTAAAGGTTTAAATAATAATTATAAGGCTATCTGTAAATTTAACAAATCTATTTCGTTTCATTTACTTTAATATATTTTAAAAACGTTCATACATATTTCTGTTCTTGAACTAGAATGTCCTGAACACGAACATTTCGATCAATGTAGTGCACAATGCCAAAATACTTGTAAAAGTGAAGATGGTAAACCATTGATTTGTCCTTTGATTTGTGCTTCTGGATGCATCTGTGACGACGGTTACGCCAGAAAAGATGGAACTCCTAAATCACCTTGTGTCCGTATACAAGATTGCCCAAAATTGAAAAATTCCTCTATTAATTCTGAAAAAGTAAAATAATTTCAATAAATCCTCCAATAAATTTTACATCTCGTTTTATTCTGTTGGTTTGTACTGTACAATGAATTTCTTGAAAAACAAAACAGATAAAAAATATTAGGCTATAATTGTATTTTTTTCCAGCTTTCTGTTACTTTTATCACATGTGAAATATATTAGACATTTTTAATAAAATAAATGTAAATCTTTCGAAATTATGTAATAAAGCAAAACTTCGAGAATATGTATATGATTGTCTGTAAATTTCCACCTCAGTGGTCGAGAAGATAAAACCACTGAACACTAATAGTTGATGGCGGGATCGCGATTAGCCAACGAGATGGCCATATAGAGTTTTCTGGTCCTTCTTCATGAGTTTATTTGTTTATTTTCGAGTAAAACACTCTGACTTTCTCGAAATTCTGTCTATTCATAACCAAATCAAATAGGAGCTTGATTTGGTTGTACTGTATGAATAGACGAAACTTACCGATTAATTAGTTTAATGCCAGAATTTAGTGTTGACTATTGAGAAAGTGGAACCAAGTTAAAGAGTAATACAAATAAATTTAATATGGTAGAGTATTAAATTGTTTGAAGATAAGTTTTAACGAAATTTACACTTATAATCAGGTGTAAATTTCGTTAAAACTTATCTTCAAACTAGTGACATTCTCAGCAAGGTAGCAGTATGGCTTGATATCAGATGAAGAGGAAACCCGAGCAAGATTCTAGTGCGATCTCGATAACTATTCAAATCTGTTAAACCATTTAAACCGAAATTGAAACTTGTAATCTATACTCTACGTTATTAAATTCTCGTCATATATATTGCACCTTAACTACTTTTTAATTTGGTTTCACTTTCTCAAACGTCAACACAATTCCAGCAAACAAATTAACCATTTTGTTCCTTATATTCACGCAAAAAAGCAGCTCCTGCTATATACACGAACTTCCCAGAATTGCTCTTTTATGTACAATTATTCGTAGCGCACCCTGTATACTCGGGCATTATAGAAAAACTAAATAGCTTATGTTTATTAGAAGACATACAGACAAAATAAGCTTTATTGCGCCCGACACCACCAGGCACAGTCGAGGTAGAAATACAAGTAGATGGTAAATGTGATTTTTTTTAAACCCATGATGGCATCTGTGGTTCCCCTCTGCTGTCTGAACCCGTAATGTGCGCAGTGAATGAGCCTTCTTGGCTCCCAGAACCAGTATATTTTGTTAAACAGGGGCTTATCAAGAACTTTGCCAAGAGAGGACAACAAAGAAATGTTGAGCATGTTACTCAGTGTCAACGGTTCCTCACGTTTTTTGGGAATGATGATAATCCGTGTGCACTTCCACGGACAGGAAAAGATGCCCTTTTGCAAGCAGATATTGAATATTTCCAAAAGTAGATCTGGTCGTATTTTCCAGATCTCTTCAACAATATTAGCGTTTAAGCATTATTAATCTGTACAATAAAAAAAAAAAAATAAAATAAAAT